TGAGTTATGTGCTCTTGCCGGTGGGGGGGGGGGGGGGGGGGGGGGGGAAAGCCACTGCCCTGTCCTCAGTTTAGCTCTTTTTTTTCAGTTCTGGAAGCTAAAGTACATTAGCAGGTGAGTAAGGCTTCTGTGAGCAGAAGAGCAAGAGGAAGGTAACAGGCAGGATAAATATAAAAGTTTTCATTGAACTTTCTATAGGGAGCAAGTGTACGTATAGGAAGCAACTTAGTTTAGGCCTATACCTCTAACTTCCCTACTAAACACTACAGACTGGGTAACGCCATCAGTTGCATAGACTGGTAGAGCTCAAAACACAGCATTAGAAAATTTACTCCAGTCCCTTATAAATGCACAGTACATATGTAACTTCCTTTAGCATTTCTTTTTTTAAGCAAAAAAATATTTTCCTTGATTCTGACAAGCTAAGTTGAAAAATACTCACAAACTTCAAACTCAGTACATACATAAAACATTTTATTGATAAAGAACACATAGGTAATTATGCAAACCCCTGGTTCTTTATGCTAGCTTCATAGGATACCTGATAAAAGGGCTTTTTTCTTAATTAAATCAGCGAGCACACACTCAAGCATCCTTACTATAGCAAATAAATTTGTGTATGCATTGAATGAAAGCTAATTCAATATATAAACACACCACAGAACTGATTTCATGTAAGGCGTTATTATAAGCAGTATGAAAAGCATTTTTAAAACCACTGTAAGAAACACTTTGACAGAGCTCCTTTAAAGATGGATATAAAGGAAGGTTGATACCTCTCCCAATCCATGGATAGATCCAAGCATCACTGTAGCAAAGAGTGCAGAACTGATTTTTACTTCAGATGTACCAGTAAGATTAAATTGATCCTCGCTCATCGTACCATATAAAAATCAACAGAAAAGTTAAAGAACATGGAAAAACCCAGGGAATCTGCAGAGGAAAAGGTCACAGATTACCTGTAGTTTGAGGAAGAAACAGAAGCCTTCTCCCCAAATACCTGCACGCACCCCCTGCACCCCCATTCAATTGTTATGAAAAATTCCTTATGATTTTAAGAGACAGGGATATGCCAAAGGCAGTATGTTGAAAAGAAATGTTAGTGTAGCCGCAGAGTGCAGCTTAGATGTCTGCTAGAACAGAAACCTGCAAAGACAAACCTGATATTCCTACCAGTGACTTTAGCATTTCCTGCTTTAGTGTACAATAAAACAGAAGTTTGTCCTGTTGAACAGGACTGGGGAATTTGCAAACCAAAACCACACACAATTAACCTCCCCATGCCTCCCACGCTGTTATCCGACTGCAGCCAGGTGCCCTGTTCAGCCCAGATGCCGCCATTGGACCCACTGCCACCACTCTGCCTTCTCGGGGAGAGTCCGCAATGGGCAGCTCCAGGCTTCCATTTGCACAAAACTAAACATTTATTTTAGGGCTATAAATGTCACATCCCATAACAATAACAACTACTGAAACTGATTCAAGTTTTTAAGCCTTCATGCATATGCTCATCTGCAGAGGAATCCTTTCCAACCTTGCACTGCTCCTAAAGGGTCCAAAAAACTACGGAAGGCTGGAGCTGACAAGCTGCTGTTCACCTGCAGCCCAGGTGTAACTGCTTGCTGCTTCTGCCGCCTCACCCCCCTCCAGGCACGGCCCCACAGCTCGCCAGCAGCTGCTGGTAAAGACGTCTCACTCCGGCTCCCCATGAAAGGCAGTGTGGAGGGTGTCAAACGTCAGGAATTGGAAAGCAGCTACAATAACCAACTCCAGCAGCACTGACAGAACCACAGCCTGAAAATCCCAAGCTAGCGCTCTCAGCTGCAGGGTGCCAAGGGGATGCTGGCCCTCCTCCTGTTAATGCTGCTTATAAGACCACAGACTGCTCTGGGGATCTATTGAAGGTGCACCTCCAAGAGCCGTGTGTGTGTATATATGCATGTGCGTGTGTGTATATATATAGATGTACATATTTTTATACATATATGTATGTATTCTTATTATTACTATTTTTTCCGGGAGAAGGACTGCAAGCCCCTTTGCAAGCCCCAGCATACTTATTCCTCGCTATCCTCTCGGGGGTGCGGGGAGCTCTCCGCAGCTCGGCTTTCCACACGCCTCCAGCGCCGGCACCCCCGCCCAGGGCAGCGCACGGACCCTCAGGCGCTGCGAGCTACCGGCCACACGGGCCCGCGACCGCCCGCCGCCCCCGGGGCCGCGGTAGGCCAACGCGGAGGGGCGGGTGGGAACACGAACCGCTCCGGCCCAAGGCGCCGCCGCGCCAGGGGACAGGACCGGCGGTCAGCAGCGACGGGCGCCCCTCAAGCTGCGCCCGCCATCCCCCCCCGCCCG